ATATATTATTTTGCTTCGAGTGTATAGTGTGTATAGATAGTGCAATAGAACAGGCCGATACGAGTTGTAAGTTTAGTATGGTTTCAGAAGGAAACATTACGCGCAAATTAAATTTTTTATTTTTCTAAATTTATTATCACGTCCCCCCCCCCCCTGAGAAGGGGGAAGAGTTCATGTTACGGTCTTTAAATCCGTCATTGGATGAGAGTATGTCGTATACTGAAAACATTGACCCTGAGAGACGCGCATTAATTGTTCTCTGTCTCTTTCTTTCTATCTTTCTTTCTCTCTCTCTCTCTCTCTCTCCCCCCCCTCTCCCTCTCTCTCTCTCTCTACTTTGCTTAGAGATGGAAATGAGTCACGAGATCAAATGACTTTGCGTTCGTATTATCGCGCGCCGTGTAAATAGATTAATAACGCGGAAGGAGTATCATTCGCGCGTCGTATTAATAATAATGCTCCGGTTTTATTGTCGATTGTCGCTCGGAGGAGAAAACCGGCGCGAGATGCATCCGTTTAAAATTCCCCGACGATTGTATCACATATACGAACCGAAATCGGTAGTATTCCGATGAGTTCGCGATGGATTTTTCGATGCTGCAGGCGAGAGCGATGTCTGCAGTTTGCTTCGCTGTTTGTGAGTGAAGAATTGCAAGATCCATTGCATGCATGCGTAGCGCATGAAAAAAATGGAGAATCATTGAGAAATTATAACGCGACTGTTTTCCTTATATACATATATATATATATATATATATATATATATATATATATATATATATATATATATATATATATATATATATATATATATATATATATATATATATATATATATATATATATATATATATATATATATATCTAGCGGAAATATCGGCTCGATGTTTTTCGTTTATATGTATGCGATTGAGTTTATAGCGCACGAGCGGTCTCCCTCTCGACTGATGATGTCATATTTATATAAGAGTTTAATGTTATCAATTCGCGGAAACGATTGTATCGCGAAGAATGCGAGGCAAAATCTTTGTATTTTTAAGAAATGCTCTAAAAAAGAGCATATCAATTATATTAGACTGTCAAAAATATAATATCATTTTTTTCACTAATTATCATGTTATTGCAATGTTATAAATATTATAAATATTTGCGCATATTAAAAATTACAATTATATACAATAACTGTAACAGAGACACTTATTAGCGCCAATCATGATTAACTAAATGTCATATCTAATACACTTTTTATCTCATGGATGAGATCATAATTCGGAAATATTGCAAGTATCGTCGAAATAGGATTAACTGTCAAGTTGAACTGTTGCCGCAGCCGTCCTTGAAAATTATAGGTTTAACGAGACTGCAATCGTGATGATGTCTGTCGATTTTTACGAGCAGCCGTCCTTGCTAAATTCGTCTCGTTCTTCTTTTCTCCTTTCCGCGATATGCGCGTCACAATTAAATCCCGTTCGCGGTTTTCAACTCGAGGTTGCGCACGAAAGTGTCAGGGCCGGTTTCTTAACAACGACCTCAAGGTCTTATTGGGTAAATACACACGTTGGTTGGAACTTTATGCGACGACGCGCCGGCCCAGAATTAACGCGATATAACGACCGGTCTATCGCCGGTGTATGACGGATATTGAAACATCGATATAAATATTTGTCACGCGTCTACCTCGATAGAATAGTACATTGGACAATTGCGATTCACTGTTGATTTATGTTGCACGCAAAAACGACGCGAAGCCAAGATTTTGCATATCATGACGTCAATAATTCGAGAAAGAAAAAAATGCATTTTTCTTCATTATCGTATCATTGTAAATGAAAATTTAGTTTTTATCCGTTTAAATCCGTAACATGTTTTATATTTAAGAAACATAACATAATCAGTAATTATTTTTTAAATTTTTGTGATTTTAATTCTTAAGATTTTACTTTTAAATTGTTAGAAAACTGTTTTCTTTTTCTTTTTCTCTTTCTTTTTACGAAACTGATGAATATATTTGCCTTTAATTTAGATGGCGCCAAAAAATAAGGAAAATAACGCCAAACGAAAGAAGCAGGTAGAGGACGAAGGAGACGAGGACTATCGGAAACGGCGGGATCGGAATAACCAGGTTGTGTATCGATTTCACATGTAAATTGTGCGTACATTATCATTCGCATGTGCTGTCATTGTTATTTTCATATTTCACAGGCTGTGAAACGATCCAGAGTAAAGAGTAAATTACGCACTCAACAAACATTAGAACGAGTAAATCAGCTGAAAACGGAGAATGAACTACTGGAGGAAAAGATTAAAATGCTTACCAAGGAGTTAGGATTTCTCAAGGATCTCTTTCTTGCACATGCAGGTTCGGTTAAAACAAATTATTGACAAATTATTATTAATTTTTTTGTACATCTTTGTTGGAGTATTTCCAAATTATTCTTATGATTATCTTACGATTTCTATTTCAGAATTATCTATTGTAATAATATAGCAACACAAATTGCCCGTCTAAAAAATATTTTTTATGTTTGAGATCCTAATATTGAATGACTGATTCTTACTTTAGGTTCCAATCAACACTCTATAAACATTCAAGATCTAGATCTAAATTCTCTTCTAGCCGAAGATAAATCTACGGTAGATGGCCTGAAGACGACTACGGCCGAGCTGTAAACTGATACATGCACCACGTGAAGGGAATCAGCGTGGTATTGAATTCGAAACGCGAGGAAGCATGGGTCGTTTAATCGAAAGAGCAAGCATCTTGGAAAGATGTACTCTTTAAATTTATTGGGAAATATTCAAAACGCGAAAAGCATTTCCTGAATGCGAACCTTCTGGGTTACAACGTCGTCGGGAATTATCATCAATCAAATTTATAGTTTATTGGCAGCGGGAGATATGGCAGAGTTGTCTTATGGTAAATTCAAGTATGAAAGTATTCATCCTGATTGTCAATCCCAATAGAGCTGTTACGATCTTAAATAGTACAAAGGTTGGGACGGATTAACTATTTAATATGAATATTGTACATATTGTATTTATTATGCTTAACATTGTATCTTATTTTGTGTAATATATATCTTAGGAGGCGTACTTTTATTATGTACAGGTAAAAATAGAAAATAATATTTTAACATTTACATCTGCTAAATGCTATCAAGATAAAATTTATTTTATCGTTATATAATTATATAAAATACAATTTATAAAATGATACATTTTTGCAATATTTACATAGTAATTTAAACAGATTTCTTTGAAACGAATTACGTTTATATAATTTGGGAATATAGTATACATTTGCGGTTTAAATCAACAACACACCATTCTTAATATTCGAGTATGATAATAGATACTTGCGCCTTCACTTTTTCATAGATTCGTATTTCTGGCATGCATCAAATAGTTCTTAAATTGTTAAATATTTCGATGGGTTCATTGACAACGTGTTATCGGTTCTTTTCAAAATTGCGTGAATATTTAAACAATGTATTCGACCCAGAAACATCTACTCATAAAAGTGAAGGCATTTATGTGCACTATTATTGATATACACAAAAAGCATATTGCAAGAAAACATCCAAATATTTTTGAAATAAATTTGTCCTCTCTTGATTGTCGATATTTATTAGCATGATAATTAAAATTGCACAGAAGAATTTATAGAAAGCAATATGTAATAACTTTATAATCAGATTTTTCTAATCATGCGCATAATTAAATCAGATAAGTTAAATTAAATCAGAAAACGCCTGACAATGAATCATTGTCGATTTTAGGCTCGTCTCAATTTTATTATTATTTCCTTATTTTATGCAAGATAATGTGCAGTAAATAACATCCAATAATAGTCTAACATATTTTGCAACAAAAGGGACTTGCAGTTAGCGTACTGATATAATGTTTAACCTGATCAATAATAAAAAAAAATATATTTGTATTGTATGAAAAAATTATTGAGAAAAGTTGAGATTAATATATGTTTAATACTTTAGGCGACATAACATCAGATTTATAATGATTAGCAATTTAAATAAAATGAAATAATAATAAAAATTAATATAATGTCAAATAAAATTATGAGCAATGTGGAGAATTGTAATAAATGAAGAGATGATACTTGTAGAAGAGTAGGTAGAAGAAGGCAGTAGAAATATTTTATGAAATGAAATACGGGAGTAAGAATTTTAATATGCAACGCGAGATGGAAAGACGCCAGTCGAAATTTGAAGACAAGTGGAAGGAATGAAATCAGAATAAAAGTCCACAGAGATGAAGTTTCAAAGATATGAAAAATCGGCATGTACAACAATGTACAATTGTATTGTAGACAATACAATAAAAGCACAGTATAAAATATTGGTAAATTTTGAAATGATAGAATGGGAAGAGGTATGATCAAATTTCTTTTTTTTTTTTTGGCTCTATAGCAAAAATGAAAGGGTAAATTCCAAGTACGTTGTATCTTGTTAAATAATCGTTGCGTGTAATTACGAGATGAAAAAAGTAAAAAATATCGACATAATTGTATATAAATAAGAATAAGACAGAGGGGATAAATTGACTATTGTTTACATTTTGTAATTAATTGTACACAAATAACGAAACGATTGTCTTTTTTATTATCCTTGTTAGAAGCGAATGTTTTTATTTTATATGTTTTCAAGAGGCTTGGAAGTAAAGATGCTTGTGCTAGAATAGTTTCGAATTGTTGGTGAACGGGCTGACACCGGGTGACACATCCGGAAAGTCATCGATGGCACCTGTATGCTTCAATACTCGCGGACGCGAAAAGACCCGATCGATCTTCCGCCAGCGTTCGTAAAGCGCATGAACGTCGCACCGAGTGAACGAGCCCCGCGTGTCGCAGCGAAAAGGGCACACGTGAACCCTACACATCCTCTTTTTAATGCATGAATGCGAGAATGTGGTGAGAATCATCCTAGCTCACATTTTTCTTCCGCATTTCCAGAGAATTCGATATACATTTCTCTCGCGACGGTTCCAGTTGTAATTCATCTGTCAAAGGGGATTTTCACAAAATATACGTTATCAGGAAACATATTTTATTATAAGTATAATAAAAAAAAATGTATAGCTGACACCGGGTGACACATCCGGAAAGTCATCGATGGCACCTGTATGCTTCAATACTCGCGGACGCGAAAAGACCCGATCGATCTTCCGCCAGCGTTCGTAAAGCGCATGAACGTCGCACCGAGTGAACGAGCCCCGCGTGTCGCAGCGAAAAGGGCACACGTGAACCCTACACATCCTCTTTTTAATGCATGAATGCGAGAATGTGGTGAGAATCATCCTAGCTCATTTTTTTTTCTTCCGCATTTCCAGAGAATTCGATATACATTTCTCTCGCGACGGTTCCAGTTGTAATTCATCTGTCAAAGGGGATTTTCACAAAATATACGTTATCAGGAAACATATTTTATTATAAGTATAATAAAAAAAAATG